TGAATGAATGAATGAATGAATGACTGGCTGGCTCACTGACTGGGTAACTGACTGACTGGCAAACTGACTGACCGACTGACTGACTGACTGAATGAGTGAATGAATGAATGGCTGGCTGACTGGCTGGCTGACTGGCTGGCTGACTGACTGACTGAATGAATGAATGAATGACTGGCTGGCTGGCTCACTGACTGGCTAACTGACTGACTGACTGACTGAATGAATGAATGAATGGCTAGCTGGCTGGCTGGCTGGCTGGCTGACTGACTGACTGACTGACTGACTGACTGACTGACTGAATGAATGAATGAATGAATGAATGAATGACTGGCTGGCTCACTGACTGGCAAACTGACTGACCGACTGACTGACTGACTGAATGAGTGAATGAATGAATGAATGAATGGCTGACTGGCTGGCTGACTGAATGACTGGCTGGCTGACTGACTGGCTAACTGACTGACTGACTGACTGACTGAATGAATGGCTGGCTGACTGGCTGGCTGACTGGCTGAATACATGTATGCATGCTGGACAGTGTGGATAGCAGCAGCACCTCTCAGGTTGCTGTGGGTGTAGAGGATGCGGCAGGTATGTGGGTCCTTCTGTACATGGTGGACATTAGCTGGGTTATACTGAAGGACCCTTTGGAGAGGAATCCTTTTGGTGTGCTATCAGTGATGAGAGTGGCTCCTGGTCCTTTGAGGGGGTGGTCAACTACCCGACTGAGCTCTGGTGATTTCACTGTGCATTTTCCTTTTCCTCCCTGGCCCATGCTTTCGCTCCACTAGAACCCTTGCCCGGAATCCGGTGCCTCCTTCCTCTCCAGGATCACCTTCTGGTGGATCACAGGGTAAGAATGGGGTCTTGAGTCTGCCTGTCCTGGGTAGGGGGCTGGAGATAGCACCCTGACCCCACATTCCTGAACTCAGGCATGATATGTGTGTGAAGCAGAAATGGCGTAGAGTTGGGGCAGAGCCTGGGGACTACGCTTGGCTTGGCTGTGGCGTGGCACCTTTCTCACAGCAGGCATAGCTGCTGTTACTGGCATTGTTTCAAAGTCCTCATCATTAGAAAGTTGATACCCATGTGCCCTAGGAATGTGGGGACAAGAACTCTGCCAGGTCGGCCAGCGAGGACATTTGACTGCCCTCCCACCCCCCTGTTTACTGTACCGCGACAGGGTCTCACTGGAGACTGTCTGAAAGCCCCTCCCAGCCCTGCTCCTTGTGTGTATAAACCTTTTACAAAGCATTTTTTAAATAAAGTCTTTTAACATGTCGTCGTTTACCCAGTTCTGTCAGCGGCCCCGCTGGGGCGGGGCGTGAGTCGACTCGAGGCTCCGGGCCCTGACGGCGCTGTGGTCTGAGTCTGTGCAGCCCTTTCCTTAGTGGGGCACACACTCATACTTAGAGTCACAGGCGTTTATAGTCTGCAGCCTGCTCTGAAACAGCTCCAGAAAATAGCGTTCACATCTGTGTCTTTGTAGAGCCAGAATGATACCACGAACCTGGCAAACTGTTGCTAATGATGAACATGGAGCCGGGTAGACAGGAATCTCTTGTAGGTCCGTGTTGTTTTTATTATCTTTGAAATTATTTCTAGCCAAAGTAAAATACTAAGCTTACTTTTTATCCTGAAACTGTTCAAACCCTTTCATGGAAAGGTTAGCAAACACTTTAGCAGATTCACCACCAGAGTTAGCCATTGTTAAAACCTGGCCATATTTGCCTTAAAATGTTGTTTTTTTTTTTCCCCACAAAACTGCCCTGGGGGTTTCCCCTACAGTGTCCTGCATGTATCTCTGAAAAGTGAGCCCATTTTCCCTGGGGCCTGGGGACACAGAATGAGCGTCCACTCAGACTAGGTTTTCTCAGTGCACAGGTCGGCCGTGGTGAGGCGGGCACCTGGGTGTGGGGCGGGTGTGCGTCGGGCTGGGTCTTCTCCCTCTGGGCTCTCACCACTTCCCCATGTGTTTCTGCCCTAGGATGATGATCCAGGGCTACCGCCAGCCCCTGGAGAGCACTGACCTCTGGTCCCTGAACAAGGAGGACAAGTCAGAACAAGTCGTGCCCGTTTTGGTAAAGAACTGGAAGAAGGAATGTGCCAAGTCCAGAAAGTAAGTGTGAGGTTGTGGCCGCAGAGGAAACCAGGCTCCTGTGGGACGGAGCTATCACCCCCTTGACGGGGTGCTGGCCATGCCTCCTCTGAAGGGCCTGGTGGCCCTGGGCAGGTGGCTTTGTTCTTCCGAGCCACAGTTTACACCTCTGCAAAGTGGGTCGTGTCTTATACGGAGATTAGGCAGTTTGGGGTGAGGCGTCTGGGAGGGTCCGCGGGTTCTACTGGCTGGGACACATGGTGAGCCTGTCTCGGGGCCTTGGCGAGCTGTGTCCAGGCCACTAGGCCCGTCCCCTCCCTGGCTCGTCCTGTTTCCTCTGCCATCCTGAGTCATCCTGTTGTTAGTGTTCAGGCCGCCAAGCCGAGCACTTCATGAGGGGTGTAGTCAAAGCCACCCCACGCGGGGGTGATTCTGACTGGATTGGATTGTCAAAGACTATTTTTTAGAGCAGTTTTAGATTCCCAGCAAATTGAGCAGATGGCACTAAGATTACCTAAGTAACCCCACTCTCCGCCACACACGAGAACCTCCTCCCACTGCCCACGTCCCCACCACAGGGGCACATTTTTTGTAATTGCTGAGCCCACATTGATACATTACAAGTTCATGGTTTATATTATGATTCATACTTGCATTCCTGAGTATAAAAGTTCAAACACACCCTACCTACTCCCACCCCATGTAAGATGTGTGCTAATGCAACCTCTATTATCTATTATTGTATCTATTATTTCTAGATTATTCTAGAAATCGGTGCAGGGTCTCTCCATGAAATCTGAGTCATCACAAACTTACAGTGCATCATCATTTTATGGACCAGTAAGAAAGAAAAGCCCGTGGCAGCTCCCAGGACATGGCGCTGACTTTAGATGCATCCTGGGTCCTGAGGAGCCAGGTGGAAGCCAGGATTGACTTGGGAGCAGTGGGTGGTGGTCGTGGGTGTTTCTCTTTTAATTAGACTTGGTTTTCTAGAGACGTTTAGATCCAAGGCAGCATTGAGTGGAAGTGCAGGTTGCCCACTGCTCTCTGCCAGAGTGCGGTGTCCCTCGTCTTTGTTATGGCTGGGTTTGTTACTCACCTTTTCTTTTTTTTTAATTTATTTTCTTACATTGTTGTTAATTCTTGGACTCTATTTGATTTCTTCCCTCCAGTAGTTTCTGTAGTTCTTCCACCACCACAGCACCCGTGACCTGTCACCATAGTCCCCTCTGTGCTTCCCTTCCATTTTTTGAGCCCCCCCCCCCCAATCTCTGGATGCCTCAGATCTGTGGTCAGCTTGCAAGTTTTGTCTTTTTCCTGATCCTTTGTTTCGTTTGTCTATATTCCGTATGTCAGCAAAACCACCTGTTAACTTCTCTTTTCCGTCTGGCTGTTCTGCTGAGCGTCATCCTTTCCAGCTCCATCCCCATTGCCACAGGTGGCATGAGTTGATCATTTTTGATCACAGAGTAGTATTCCATTGCGTATTAGACCACATCTTGAGCCATTCCTCGGCTTGGGGGCATTCAGGTTGTTTCCGTATTTTGGTGACTATCATTATTCACCTTCTATACAGAACCTGTTGACTGTTGAGCCAGCCCGGTGTGTTCGATTCCCCACAGACTGCAGAAAAACCGCAGACCTGACACCCTATTCCCCACCAGCTACAGGAAAACCGGAATTGTAGGTCTTACGTGAGACCCAGACAATGGGTGTCTGCGCTGCCAGTGCTAGGACATCTGTGGAGGACCTTGTGACTCTGGGCCGGTGGCCCACTCAGGGTGGCCATGGACATGGCAGAAGTGGTTTGAGGAGATGTAGCTGGAGCCTGTGGCAGAATGAGGGAACGGGTCCCCTTGGGGCGGGGAGGGATGCTCCAGGCTGAGTGAGGCCTGGAGCTCAGGATGTGAAGAGAGAGGTAGACTTTCCAAGGCCTGCAAGACCCCCCAGGCCTCGTAAGCAGTGCTAGGAGCAGAGACCAGTGGCTTTGTCAATTGTTATATAAGGGGGAGCAGGGCAGGGTTCTGGTGGCCTGGACGCGCCTCTGGATGGCCAATTGGGCTCTCAGGAGAGGTAGGGCCTGGATTCCTTCTTGATGAGAAGGCCGCACTGTGGGCTGCTTGTCCATCCCTGTTACCCAGCCCGCTGGCAGCATGAGTTGCCGCGCGGGTGGCAGGTGGTGCCCACACTCCCCAGGTCAGGACAGCCCTGAGCCAAACAGCCTCTCTTGGGAGCCTTTGTTTTTGAGGAATAAAATGCACTAACCATCAAGCAAAAACTAAATAAAAAAAGGGAAGAAAATTTGAGTCATTTGCATCTGTAAGCAAAACATTGAAAATCTCGCCTGGGCTTTATTTTCTGTGGCAGAGGAGGTGGCTGCCCCCCCCCCCTTCTGCATGGTGCTAGCTCTGAACATGAGCGTGAACATGTGCACATCTATAAAGTCCATTCTCTGCATAAAAGTACAAACCTGCCCTTGTGCATTATATTAGGCGTTGTGGGTCGAAGGCAAAGTATATCCAGGAAAGTCAGAATTTTAGTAAGCTGAGACTTCTTCAAACTTGGGGTACACTTTTGCCCACACCTAAAAGATCTTACATGACAATTGACAAAGCCACTGGTCTCTGCTCCTAGCACTGCTTACGAGGCCTGGGGGGTCTTGCAGGCCTTGGAAAGTCTACCTCTCTCTTCACATCCTGAGCTCCAGGCCTCACTCAGCCTGGAGCATCCCTCCCCGCCCCAAGGGGACCCGTTCCCTCATTCTGCAGATTTGTCTGTGATGCCCCATGAAAGCACCCTCTCAGTGGCTTGAGAAGTCATGTTTCTCTCACCAGGCTCCTTGATGGTGGGGTCTCCCCAGGACCTGGGTTCAGCTCACTCGTGGATGGGCCTACTACGGGCAGCTTTTGTGCCCACATCAGAATCAGACCAAGTTGTCTAGTTCCCTTTTCTTCTCGACTGCTGGCAGCCCCCTCTTGCTGTCCACCTGGCCCTTGAGAGCCTGAGTTCTGGGCACTGAAAACGGCCCTGGGAAGTGGCCCAGGGTGGAAGTGTGTGGAGAGAGCAAAACCGCGCAGGCTGGGCCACTCCCTTCCTCTCTGTCTGGCCTTCTTGTCCCCCTTGCCAACAGGACTTGTGTGCTGAAAGGAACCACACTAAATAAAAGTCCCTGCAGGAACCCAGCGTCAGAGGAAGTGAGTAAAGTGAACAGGGAGAGCCTACGTGGTCACAGCAACAATGGGAAATGCAGAACTGGCCTCTGTGGCCAGCAGATCAGGCCTGTGCTGTCGAGTTTACTGAGTGGCACAGCCTTTGAGTGTATGCTTGGATTGTAGCCTGCCTGTGTTCACAGAGCCCCAGCGGACATGCCAGGCTGGCGGGCACTCTCCCCTCATCTCTGCTCACCCTACCCTTCCACACAGAGATCACAGATGTTCCGGGAACCCCCCCCCCCCCCGCAGCGCCGTTTGCATAGACATGCAGGCAGAACAGGCTCCGCCCTCTGTGGTGAGGCAGCCGTGCAAAATCTGTGCCGACACTGGCCTTGCACACCCCCCCAGTGACCTGGGTATCCCAGCGGGGACACTTAAACTGCGGAGTGATTACAGCCCTATTACCTTCCTCTGCGAGCAGAAAGTGTCAGCAAATCTTGAGGTCCCAGTTACTTAGAACCACCCCCCGCCCGCACCCCCGGCCCCCTCCATGAATAGTGTATATGTGATGGCAACCACCTGCCCGTCCTGTCTCTGTAAACTGGACTCAAACTCGCGTGCGCTGGCACAGTCCCAGCGGAGTGAGATGCCAGGGCTGGTGAGGTCCAGGCACCTGCCTGTAGTCACCTGCCTGCAGTCACCCGGCTCGCCAGGCCCCCAGGCCCAGTGCTCACAACCACTGGCCGGGGCCTGTCTGCAGAGAGCCTGCTCCTCTGGCCGGGCCTCCCAGCTTGGGGGGCTCTCTGACCCCTCCGGGAGCCGGGGAGCCTGGTCTCTGCAGACACTGCCAGTCCTCCCGTTCACGTTCCAGGCAGCCGGTGAAGATCGTGTACCCCTCCAAGGACCCCACCCAGACCAAAGGGAGCTCCAAGCTGGACGTGAGCGAGGAGGCCGAGGCTCTGATCGTCAAGTCGCCCCAGAAGGAGCGGGACCCGTCGCTGTTCAAGGTGTTGTACCAGACCTTCGGGCCCTACTTCCTCATGAGCTTCTTGTTCAAGGCCCTCCACGACCTGATGATGTTTGCGGGCCCGGCGCTCTTAAAGTAAGACCCCTACCCAGCGTACCCCTGGGGCTCGCCCGCGTCTCTCCTACTCGCCGCTTTGCCCCGTGCTTTGTGTTACTGGGGTTCCAAGTGCCTGAAACTTACCGGGCTCCCCTGAAGCCGAAGTGGGGAGGACAGAGGTCGTTTAGGGAAGGGGAAGTTGGCCAGAGGGCGTGGCACCAGGGTCGCGGCCCCCCCCTTCTCCTTCCCTCCCTCCCCCCCTTCTCCTTCCCTCCCTCCCGGTCTCATTTCTGTCCGTCTCCCTGGGTCTCTCTGGGCTCCATGTTCCCGTGCTCCCTCCTCTGTCCTTGCTGCCCCCTTTGGGTGGTGAGCCGGAGCTGGTGAGAGGACCCAAGGCAGAGGTGCCTGTCCTGGGCAGTTTGCACGCTCACCGCCGGGTGGGTTTTCCTTGTCAGAGTGAGTGCCCGCTGCGCCCGCCTCTTGGGGGAGCAGGTCGGCCTGCTGAAGCCGGAGCTCCCCTTGCCACGTGCCGGCCCCGCGCCCCTTACACGGGCTCTGCCGTGCCCCTTTGCAGGCTGCTCATCAACTTCGTGACAGACAAGAGCGCCCCGGCCTGGCAGGGCTACTTCTACACGGCGCTGCTGTTCGTCAGCGCCTGCCTGCAGACCCTGGTGCTGCACCAGTACTTCCACATCTGCTTCGTCAGCGGCATGAGGGTCAAGACGGCCGTCATCGGCGCCGTCTACCGCAAGGTGGGGGGCCCAGGCGGGGCACCACTGGGGCAGGCGGGGCCTGCCGTAGCCTCAGAATCCGTGGTCTTGGCTGGTCACCCCGAAAGCCCCTGTGGGCTTCCCACCAGGATCCTGGGGCAGCTGGAGGGCTGGGACTGACCTCAGCCCAGCGATAGTGAGAGGGAGGGTGTGGGGTGTCTGAGCCCCGTCAGACACAGCTTGTCCTTGGCTGGGAAAATCCAGATTCAAACCCTCACTTGGCCCTTAATATTTTGTTTTGACTCTGCTTGAGCAAAGCAGATGGGACACACCTGGATGAGGGTGCGGTCGGCGAGCTCGTGTACACCCACCTGAGAAGAACGAGGGTTCCTCCTTGGCCCTTTCATATCTCAGCCTTGGCGGCGAGGACCCTGCTCAGGCCCCTTGGCGTGGGAAGAGATGTGTAACAAGTCGCCGGGAAGGAGGGACAAGGTCACTGGTTCTCGGCCTGGTCTGCAAGTTAGACTCACCCGGAGAGCTTAGGAATGTCCCGAGCCCCAGGCTGCACCTCGCGGGACTCCGCCAGGATTCCGAGGGTGGGACCGGGGCTTGCCAGGTGCTGGTGTAAAACCACATTTAGGAACCGGTGCAGTTTTGTCCTTCCGGAGGGTTGGCCAGTCTAGAGATATTTTTGGTTGTCGTAGCAGGTGGGTGGAAGCAAGGAGAGACCAGGGTGCTGGCCAGTATCCCACACCGTCCAGGAGATCCCCACAAAGCTCCATCCGGCCTCATGTGGCTGTCACGCCAACGCCGAGAAACCCTGGCTGAGGCTTCGGTCCTTCGGTGTGAAATGGGGGTCAGCAGCTCATGTCACCCCAGCGCTTGCTGGAGTTTTAAATCCTCGGGCCCACCCAGACCTGTGGAATCAGAACTGCCGTGAACTACCCCGCTGGGGTGATGTGTGTGTGTTCCCTAAAATGTGGGAGCCCTAGTTTAGGTGACCTCAAGGTTCCTTCCATGTTGAGGAACTCAGGTGGGGGAGGGTGCGGGCGCTGCCCACAGAGGGCACTCCGGGGAGGCAAGTGCCGGGAGGCAGGTGTGTCTGCTGGAGGAGAAAGGGCCTCCGCCGGTCTGCACCCCACTGGCTCTGTGCGGCCTGAGCCAGTCCGCGTGCTCACTCTTTCTCCTCTGCCACAGGCCCTGGTGATCACCAACTCAGCCAGGAAAACCTCCACCGTTGGGGAGATTGTCAACCTCATGTCAGTGGACGCCCAGAGGTTCATGGACCTGGCCACGTACATCAACATGATCTGGTCGGCCCCCTTGCAAGTCATCCTGGCCCTCTACCTCCTGTGGCTGGTGTGTCTGACGCCCCCGCCCCCCACCATGGGGCCTCCACACGTGGGCGGTAGGGGCGAGGCCGCGGCTGTGAGATCCTCCAGCCTGCTGGGGTTTCCTGCCACCGTTTCCATGTTATTTTCTGAGTCTTCAGTCCACTCCTGGATATTTGTTCCTTCCCTTAGTTGTCAGGTTCATGTTCTCACCAGGGCATGGTACGTGTGTGTATCTGACCTTACGTGGACAGGGCATGTAATTAACCCACAGACACACCATATCCCTCTCCTGCTGGGGTCCCACCACATACTCAGCAAACTCATTCATTCACTCGTCCCTATTTATGTTGGTCTGTGGGCATACAAGTTCATCTTAAAGTAGCCTAATCAGATAAAGGGAATTCTGTGGGTGCATCTGATTGCAAAGTCCAGGGGCCAGCTTCAGGCATGGATGGATCTAGGAGACTGGCAGTGCTGTAAGGACTCAGTCTCATGCTCCTCTATTTCTTGGCTCTATTTTCCTCTGAATTGACTTTTTCACAGATGACTTCTTAGCTTAGAGTTTATGTCATCTTCAGGGCGTGTGGTGCTGGAGAAAGGAGAGCACTCATTCCTCTTTGCCTCAGCAGAGTCCCGGGGAGCACTTTGATTGGCCAGCCGGGGTCCCATAGCCCCCCGCGATGGAACCGTGGAGGTGTGCTTGCAGCCCCTCCGGATAAGCAGCCGACGAGCAGATGCTCTCCGCCTGGCCTCGCCTCATTCCCCCCCCCTCCCCGGACTTTCCTTCCATCAGGAATTCCCTGCCCCCTGGGCTCCCCCAGCGGTAGAACCCATCCACCTTCCTGGCTCTGCCTCTTCCACGGGTTTTTTGGGGCCCCCAGTCAAGTGCACGTCCTCCTGGGTGAACACCAGGGTCTCCACTGCAGGGACTCATCTGGCCTTCTTCCGCATGCTCTGTCCACCCCGCACCTCTGAGCTCAGGGGTTGTCCCTGCAGGGCCCTGAGCACACACATTAGCTGCCGATTTGACTGTGCATCTGTCAGGCAGCAGAGGAATGAATGGAAAGTGTTTCTAACAATGAAACTTGGGGGAAATCCCCGGCGTTTAAACAGCAAAAGAAATGTCTTTTTAGTAAGGCATTTTGAGGTGTCTGCCATAAATTGTCGCCACAGGCAACTTGTTTTCGAAATGATGGGCCAGGTGAACCTTAGGAAAGTTGCTCTGTGTTGGATGAAGGTAGCTTATTGCATTATTGACGTGGGGGCAACTAATTCTTTGTTGCTGGGGGCCGTGCTGAAAAGTGCAGGCTGTCTACTGGCATTTCTGGCCTCTCCCCCAGACGACAAAAACTCAGCACCCCCTCTCCACCCACCCCACACCCGATGCGACACCCTAATGTTTCCTGGGGGAAAATTCCTTCCTCATAGGAAACCCCTGCTTTAGATCGAAACTAGGATTTCTCTATCTGACCATCAGAATCACGGGATGGTGGAAGACGGAATGTGTCCAGCAGTCAGACTGCCTGGCTCAGACCCTGCCTCTCCTGTGACCAGCTCTCACCCTTGGACTCGCCACTCACTGTGTCCAAATGGGTGGGGACAGAGGTGGCCCTCAGGCTCGGGGCGCTGGCAGCTAGCTGAGTCGACACAGATGCTGTTTCTAGAAGTGTCGCTGTGTTTGTGTAACCAGGCTGAACAGTGCCCACTATGTTTTGGTCACCATTATTTGCTCAGAGTTGATTCTCACACTTTGGATTGTTGGGGTGTCTTCAGCTTCCCTGAGTGGAGACACAGCACAGAAGCCACCTGGGCCACTGGAGTCCTGAGCATAGCTGCTCAGAGGGCCTTAAGCACTTCGTGTTTTCTGAACACCCGACAGGGATGGCGCCCAGAGCCCCGCTGTGTGTCTCAGCTGTGCGACTCCTCACGGAGCCTCATTTCTGGGGGACTCGGCCTGGGAGAGAGGTCGCCTTGTGTCTTGCTTTGGCCTCCTCCCCTCTCTGAAAGGCGCTCTTTATCAGCAAACGGATGATAGAAAAAACAAAAACAGCAACACCAGATGGATGATAGAACAAGGCCGCCACCTCTTACTTCCTATCCCCAAACTGAAGAGCTCTGAAAACTGAAAGTTTTCCTCAACTCATCAGCGAACTATAGTGAAGGATTCTGATCTTGATTCTTCTTTTCAGTGTGAATATTGCTCTTTTACTGTGGAAAAATAAACACATTTCTTTGACTGTGGGCGCTGTGCTAGGCCCCCCGGGGGGTGCAGCGCAGTGTGTGGCATGTGCAGCTATGTCAGGGATCCCCAAGGCCACACCCGCCTGATGAGGCGCGGCGGGGGGCACTCACAGCTACAGTTTACACAGTAGAATTAGCAAAGGAAATAGCGCAGGGGCTGGTTTCCAGGGGGGCTAGGTACCGGAGTCCCACAGTCCTCACCTAGTGAAGTCACCTGGGGTGTACCCCAGTGACAGCTTGCAGTAACCCCTGTGGGATGGCACCAGCTTGGGAAGTCCCATGGGGTCTGCCCAGGGGCCTGGGGTCTCATCATATTGGCATCCACTGTCTGGCACATACCAGACTTTCAGGTTTCCAGAAGAAAGAGCAGAATTCAGCATCTACCATGTTGTTCTTATGGACGGCTTAGGCACGTCGGCCCCCCTTGCCGGTCCTGAGTGGGGGCCACCCTCCCCAGGCCCAGCCCCAGGCCTGCCTAGGACCAGGTTTGCCAGCCTGCCAGCCCGATCAGCAGGTGGACTGTGTGAACTGTCCTCTGCTCAACACTGTCTTACCCCTAAGAACATGTAGGTCCCACATCTCTTACCTGGAAACCGTGGGACCAGGTGAGGTTTATAAGTTAGAGCTTTAGGAATGCAGAAAGGCCATAAAAGGTGGGATCTGAGAGATGCTCAGGAATAAATCTGTGTACCCCATTGCAGGGTAAATGTAGCCCCTGACTTGCTGGGCAGTCTGTGGGTAACTCCACTGGAGGACGCCCTGCATTGGGCCTGTGTACCCCGTCTTGGGAATAATGAAGGGTCTCCTTTCCTTCCTTAGAACCTGGGCCCTTCCGTCCTGGCCGGGGTGGTGGTGATGATCCTGATGGTCCCCCTCAATGCCGTGATGGCCATGAAGACCAAGACTTACCAGGTAGGGTGTCTTGTCTCCACAGGCTCCCAAGCAGGGCCCTTGCTCACCTGTTGGAACCCTCTAGGAAGGTGAACAAATGCTGATGCCCAGGCCCCACGGATTCTGATTCACCAAAAGTGGGGCCATCATTGGGCTCTCTTTCAGCCTTGTGGGTGATCACAGTGGGCAGCCAATATCAAGAGCTCCTGAAATAATCACAAGTGGGCAGGTAAAATCCCACCTGGGAGTCCTAAGAGATTCCTGGTTTCCCATAGAGTGGATTCACTTATGTGTGTCTGCAAGAACTGAGTGAAAATCACCCACTCCATTGCCTGCCCCCAACCTGGTAAGCGCTTACCTTATGCTAAGTACACTGTGAAATTCTTTATTTTTGGTGTTTTTCAAATTTTAAATACCCGCGTAATAGAGTGAATGCCGTCTCATAAAAAACATTCCCCAAACCCCAGACATTGCATAGATTAATAAAAGGGTTGTCTCTCTCAGCCTCCCCTCATTCATGGCAAACACCTTGAAACACATTCTTCTAGAATGTTCTGAGGTTTATGTAGAGTTAATCGGACACACATACATGCACGCCTGTGTATTTGACGCATTTTGTCCTCTGAAATCACACCTCGGGATCTTTCTGTCTCGGCCACAGCGCGTGACTTCATTTTCTTGAACGGGTCCTGCCGGTCCATTACCGAGAAGGACCAGACTTCCTTCTCTGCGCCGGTAGCTGGCTGTTTCTGTCCTGCCTGTGGCGGAGGTTTCCAAGGAGAGCGCTCGGCCACCACCTCCCCCCCCCCTGCCCCAGCATGGGAGAGACAGGGGGAGGCGGCGGCAGGGAAGGGGGTAGGAGCCCCGTCCCCTTTCTCCTCTCCCTGCCGAACAGCTTCAGTTCCTGGCTCCGAGGTCACGTTGCTGACAGTTTCTTCTGTGACCCAGGCTCAGTGCTGGGCTTCCCTGCGCGCTGAGTGACCAGCGGCGTGGAAAATGCTGGGTGCCATTAAAAATACTTCACACCTGTAGGGCAGAGGCGCCCAGTGGCGGGACCAGCGTAGGCCGGCGCGTAGCATTTCAGCCTTTTAACAGCCCCGTCCCGGCGAAAAATCAGTAAAGAAACCAAGAAGATGGAGAGGAAAAAACAACAAAACTCTTGTGTTTCGGTCGGCAGAGTTCCCCCCCCCCCCCAACAAAGAGGTTTTCTCGTCTCTGTCAGTTCTGAAATTAATAGTTTTCCTCGCATCTTCATTCATGGCATCTCGAAGCATCTGCAGGCTGCTCGGCAAGTCTGTGGGCACACTCTGGGGGTCCAGAGTGGGGCGCCCCGCGACGGCAGGGCCCGTGTCTCCGCCCCTCAAAGGCAGGCTCCTCTTTGGGTGATGAGGGGGGACAGTCTGAGGCGGGGCTGGAGCGGTGGGGGCGGGCAGGGGGCTAATTCCCTTCTCCTTGCAGGTGGCCCACATGAAGAGCAAAGACAATCGGATCAAGCTGATGAATGAAATTCTCAACGGGATCAAAGTGCTGAAGCTGTACGCTTGGGAGCTGGCGTTCAAGGACAAGGTGCTGGAGATCAGGCAGGAGGAGCTGAAGGCCCTCAGGAAGTCTGCCTACCTGGCAGCCGTGGGGACCTTCACCTGGGTCTGCACCCCTTTCCTGGTGAGTGAAGCCGGCGATCCTGGCCCGCCTCCCGTAGACTTTGTCTTTCTGCGACAAAATGGCCTTTGGAAGTCACTGTTTCACTCTTTCTCTCTTAAAAACTTCCTTTCCCGCCTTCTCCCTGCTGTGTTGTTCCAGCACTTAGTATCAGCTTGGCCAAGGAGACTCATGTCAGCCAGGTCAGGAACTGGTTACAGGCAGCCCCAGGCCCCACCCCAGGCCTGCTGGAACAGAATCTGAATTTTAACGGTCTGCTAGGTGCTTTGAAACTTTGAAGTTTCAGAAACAGAGGCACAGAGTGAGCGTAAGCAAACTTTCTCTGTCAAGGACCGACTAGCAAGTGTTCCAGGCACTCCGAGCTGTGTGGTCTCCCTGTGCCCACCGCCAGCGTGGCGTGCAGGCAGCCAGGCCTAACGATTCGAGTGGGTGGCTGTATGTCCGTAAAAATGTACTCATGGACTGAAATTTGAATTTTAAATCATCTTCAAGTGTCATGCAATACTGTGACCTTGATGTTTTTCCAGTCATTTAAAAATGTAAATGTAAATTTCCTCCATCCTGGCCACTGGCTGCCGTGTCCTAACGCCTGGTCTGGGGCGGGGTGCTGCCAGCTCACCTGTGACCTGAGGCCGGTGGTTCTGACACCATCAAGGGCGGGGGCCCGGGACCTTTAGTCTAGTTCCATGTCGAGCAGCCCAGGCAGAGCAGCTGGAAGGGAGCCAGGCACTACCCACTGCTCCTTGGCCAGGAAAGGGCTCTTGAGACCCTCTACCCAAGATTGAGAAGGGGACCCCAGGACACCAGTAGGGAGACCTGCCTGGGTGTGAGAGAGACTCCAAAGGGCTGAGGGTAGGGTCTCTATAGGTTTCAGGACTGGGGTTTGAGAACAAATAAATTCCGTTGTACTGACTGGAAGGGCAAGGGTGGTGGACTCAGCTAAAGCCCATTCGTGGTGGCCAGCTGCGGCCCCCTGGGCTGCAGCTGGGAGGTGGTGTGGGCTCGTGACCACCTCCTGGGTGAGCCCCTCACGACAGCCTGTGCCCATGCTCCAGGCCAAGTGGTGTCAAGGTCTGTGACTCCTTCCTTCTGGGTCTGTGACTCCTTTTCTCCCCACAGCCGACCTGATAGCTGTGGAGGGGGCTCAGAAACAGGACAAGGACAGTGAGAGTCCCGCCCCGCGGGAGCAGCAAAGTTCTTGTCCTGGATCCCTGTCCTGCCCTGGACCCTCCTGTCTCTGTCCCATGGTGCTGCCTCTGGGCTTCACACACGCAGCCCAGAGGGCTCGGGCCCTGGGCGTGCCCCATGACTGACCACTATCAGGACAGGGCTTGGCTCAGAGAGCGACGTCTCTGCGGATCCAGGCTCTGTGTCCCCACGGCTCCTTGGCCGACAGCCAGGACGCCAAGCTGGAAGGCCTTGTCTCTCTCCGCACCCCAGTCTCCCAGACTCCCCAGGGCTTTGGTGGCTGTTTTGTTTTTCCTTTAGAGGGGAAAAAGCACCAGAAGGTAGTTATCTGGGGTGATAGTTTTATTATTTTTCTTTAAACCGTGAAGTAGTCTCCACTGTTGAATGTTCTCTTTTGTGTGGAAAGGCACATGTTTGCACGGTCACAGTGGTTAGAGCTGGGGCTCCCCAGAGGTGTCTCAGCCTCGGCACCCCATGCCTGGACCCAGTAACTTTGCTGGGGAGCCGTCCTGCGCCTTGTGCACAGGCTCAGCGGCGCTCCTGGCCTCTACCCCCACAGTACCAAGCCGTAGCTCTCAGCGCTCCTCCCCAGCTGAAATCGGACGTGCCTCGCCTGAGCGCCATGCGTTACGGCTCTTCCCTTCCTCTGGCCCCACCCGCCCTCTCCTGTGCCGGTCTCTGTTTCTCAGGAGTCACAGCCGTGCGAGCACAGCAGAGACTATACTGAGACAGTTAAACTTACAGAGCTCGTTTCCTCACTTTAATACAGGTGTCAGCAAACATCCAGAAAACTCGAGGCATTTTGAAGAAATTTTTTTCATAAACGATGTGCAGCCAGCAGCCACATGACAAGTTAGGCTGTTAGGACGGGGACCCTCGTGTATGGCCCTTTGCTGTGCCTGTTGGGTTCTATGATGAAACCTCCAGGGTCTGGTTTGTCTCCTGTTCGCTGGCCTTTTATTTATCATTGCCTGCCCTGGTCGTTAGGAGCCCGCGGCAGGAGGTGAGTGAGGTCTGGCTGGTTATTCTCTGGCTGGAGCTTGTCATGTAGCTTTGGGGTGAGCAGAGAAGGCTGGAGCTGACAGGCTTCCAGAGACGGAGTTTGTTGAGCTACTTGGCTCAACAGGCGATCCTGGGTTTCAGTCCCAGACCTCGGACACCGCCGCCCTGACTGCATTAGGGTAAAGTGTGCGGCCCCAGGTTCTTTCCATTGGCAAATTCCTGCCCTTCAAGGATGATGAGGTGTTTACCCACCGGCAGGAAATGATGGAAGACAGAGGCCGAGGCTCGGACCAGAGTGGGGTGCCATTGGGGGGATGGATGGGCTGTTGTTCTAGCATATGGAGCCTGGCATTTATCATGCCCACTTAATGCACTTTCCCAAAATAACCCAAGCTCAAGAGTTGGCATTTTCCAACTTGGGCGATCCGTGAGCTGCCTGTCTTCAGCTGGCCTGGTCCTTCCTCCGTTAAGCAGCCACACCTGCTGTCCTTCCCTGGCGGCCGGGTCACACACGGACCGTGGCCTCCCTCGGACACAGGCGACCTGGCATATGACACACACCCAGGTGTGCAGAGTCGGGTGATGGAAGAAGGGAAGGGACGTCAGGTGTGAAGTCTGTTGGTCAGGAACTGTCTTCTAAGTGGCAGAAGTCAAATTCAAATGAAAGAGATTTAAAAAGAGGGAGCCGGGGAGGGAGGATGGAAGGAGAGGAGGAGACGGGTTTCAGAGAGGCTTTTACCAGCCAGCGGGGCCCTGGCTGTGTCAGTAGCACGGACTGTGAAGAGGTGCATTAAAAAAACTTTTTGTTACTATTCTTATTGAACCACAGTTCCCATTTTAAAGTGTACCCTTCAGTGAACACCCTGAATGTAAGTATTATTCCTGGGTTGCACCTCCATCCCCACCATCTAAAGCCAGACATTTTCATCACCCCAGAAGGAAACCCTATGCTCCATGGCAGTCACCCCCCAGCCCACACCCTCACCCCCAGGCACACACTAAGCCACATCTCGGTTCAGCAGGCCTGCCTGTTCTGGACATTCCCTATACACGGAATCGCTCTGTGGCCCCTCTGTGTCTGTTTTCTTTCAATTAGTAGAATGTTCCCGAGGTTTATCCATGTCGTAGCAGGTCATCATGACTGCATTCCCCTCGGCGGCTGATACTGTTCCTTTATGAGGGTGTATTCATCGATAGTTTTGGTGAAGCCTGTCTTTGGGTCCAAGACCAGTGCGTCATCGCTTCCTGTTAGTGGGGCGTCGGTCTGTACAGACATGGGTGTCCCTTGGTGGCGCCGTGAGTGCTTCACCTCCCCCGGGCCCTGGAGCTCGGGGCCCTGTCTTGGGTCAGCTGGTTTATAATGTCAGCGCCAGCCAGGAAGGGGTTCTGCTCCCGGCGACATGCTGGGGGGACCCGGTGACTCGATTCCGCCCAGGGCAGCTGACTTTCCCCAGAGACCAGCTTTCGTGGTCCCGGGACCCTGGGCGGAGAGGGATGTGGCGACTTGCCATCTGCCAGCCCCAGGTGCCCCGAGGCTGCACCTGTGCTCCGCCTCCTGGCAACACCTGGCACTGACTGGCCCCGGGGGAGGCGTGGATCCACCTGTTAATCTTTTACCTCCTGCCTAAGCCAGCGGCCGGACCTGGATCATATTACCGGGCCCTGCCCTGCTCCTGACCAGCGAGGTCGGGTATTGCCGTCCTAGATGACTGAACCCAAATTCTGGGAGCCTGAGCAGCAAAATCCCAGGAACCAGCACGGGGCGAAAGCAGGCCTGATGTCACGGGGAAGGGAATCTCAATTCTCCAAGACTTGTTTTCCTTCCCTTCTTTTTTTTTTTTTTTTAAAGATTTATTATTCATACAGAACTGGGGTACAGGCCAGAGATGCAGAGGGTGAGAGGAGCCACCAGAGACAGAGTGGGGAGCAGAACAGGCAGATGGACGAAGCACACTGCTGAGGGGAGCAGCGGGTGGGTCAGGAGAGATCTGCTTCCCCCTGTGGATCTCCTCTGGGGCAGGTGGGGCTCGAACTCATGCAGAAGTGGCTTTAGCTTCTCAGTGCTGTGCTTTCACCCGCTGCGCCACCAGGGAGGGCCTCCTTCTGTTCTTTAACAACAGCTTCCTTTCCCTAGAGCCTCTGCGCTAGAAGGAGCTGGCGCTGTTTCCAGCCCTCCACCCACCTCACAGACAGGGCGGTTGGAGAGTGAGGCCAGTACTCAGGGCTCCTCCCTGCCTGCCCGAGGGGCTGGCCTGCTGCGCTTGCTGTGGGCAGGGGCCCTCACTGGGCGGGTGCTCCTGCCCCATGGCCGGCCCAGGCCTCGGCTCAGCCTGCGCCTTCCCCTTGCAGGTGGCCTTGTCCACGTTTGCCGTGTACGTGACCATCGACAAGAACAACGTCCTGGATGCCCAGAAAGCCTTTGTGTCCTTGGCCTTGTTCAACATCCTCCGCTTTCCCCTGAACATCCTCCCCATGGTCATCAGCAGCATTGTGCAGGTGCGCAGGCGGGCGCTGTGGGGGGCTCCTTGGGCTGGAGCAAAGGGGCGTGGATATCCCTCGGGGGCCCCACCTGTCTCACTCCGCAGGGGGCCGGGCAGGTCCGCCCCGCTGGCTTCTGGCCTCAGAGAACAGATGTGTCTCCTCCTCGACAAACAACGTGATTTTGAGCACAGACGGTCCCCAGATCTGGGATGTTTCAACTAAAGATTTTTCGACTTTTCAGTGTTGTGAAATTGATTCGCATTCAGTAGAGACTGCACTTAGAATTTGGAATTTTGGTCTTCCCGTGGGCCAGGGACTTGAGGGGGGCTGGACCTCTCTCACGGGAGCCCCAGTCGGGCACACTGTCTCCAGGATAAAGAGCCCAGACGTGCGGTATTCGCACGTGGCACTTGGCGCTGGGTTGCCCTGACCCTCGCGCCAGGTGGGCTGGCCCAGTGGCAGTCACCAGGTGCGCGCGGTGACAGGGTGTGGGCGTGTAGACCTGCCAGGCTC